ATTTACATGGAAGCATCTTCAGGTAGTATAGATTCAAGTTTGTTCAAATCATGACCCCCGGGGGTCGGGTGGGGCCACAATGGGCGATCAAAGTTTTACATAGGAATATATAGGAAAAAATCTTTAAAAATCTTCTTCTCAAGAACAGCAAAGCCATGATTGGTCATATTTACATGGAAGCATCCTCAGGTAGTGTAGATTCAAGTTTGTTCAAATCATGACCCCCGGGGGTCGGGTGGGGCCACAATGGGCGATCAAAGTTTTACATAGGAATATATAGGAAAAAATCTTTAAAAATCTTCTTCTCAAGAACAACAAAGCCATGATTGGTCATATTTATATGGTAGCATCCTCAGGTAGTTTAGAATCAAGTTTCTTCAACTCATGACCCCCGGGGTCGGGTGGGGCCACAATGGGCGATCAAAGTTTTACATAGGAATATATGGGAAAATCTTCAAAAATCTTCTTCTCAAGAACAGCAAAGCCATGATTGGTCACATTTACATGGAAGCATCCTCAGATAGTGTACATTTAAATTTGTTCAAATCATGACCCCCGGGGGTCGGATGGGTCCACAATGGGCGATCAAAGTTTTACATAGGAATATATGGGAAAATCTTCAAAAATCTTCTTCTCAAGAACAGCAAAGCCATGATTGGTCACATTTACATGGAAGCATCCTCAGTCAGTGTACATTCAAATTTGTTCAAATCATGACCCCCGGGGGTCAGGTGGGTCCACAATGGGCGATCAAAGTTTTACATAGGAACACATAGTAAAAATCTTAAAAAAACTATTTGTTAAGAATAGCAGAGTCATGATTGGTCATATTTATATGGTAGCATCCTCAGATAGTGTACATACAAATTTGTTCGAATCATGACCCCCGGGGGTCGGGTGGGGCCACAATGGCCGATCAAAGTTTTACATAGGAACACATAGTAAAAATCTTTAAAAAAAACTATTTGTTAAGAATAGCAAAGCCATGATTGGTCATATTTATATGGAAGCATTCTTAGATAGTGTACATTCAAGTTTGTTCAAACATGACCCCTGGGGGTCGGTTGGGGCCACAATGGGTGATCAAAGTTTTACATAGGAATACATAGGTTAAATCTTTAAAAATCTTCTTCTCAAGAACAGCAAAGCCATGATTGGTCATATTTAAATGGAAGCATCCTCAGATAATGTAGATTCAAATTTGTTCAATTCATGACCCCCCCCCCCCCCCCCCCCCCCAACCACTTTTATATTTAAACTTTTCAACCTTTCAAGATTGAAGTGATTTCTGCTTTTTCCTAGCCATAGTGCTCAGGTGAGCGATGTGGCCCCTGGGCCTCTTGTTGATGAGATGCGCCGTACTGTCACTTTAAAGTAATAATAAAGTAATAACTTAAGTAATAACTTTTGAACAGTTGGCGTTAGGGCTTTCATATTATACATGTGTGTTTCTTATGAGAAGACTTTTCATTGGGACCAAAATTTTTGACCTCATGACCTTGACTTTGGAGTTTGACCTACTTTTGAAAAACTTCAACCTTGCTGATCACTTTTAAATGGTTGGTTCCAGGTCTTTCATATTTCACATTGTATTTCTTGTGACAAAACCTTCCAACATTTTTGACCTCATAACCTTGATGCAAGAGTTTTGAAAAACTTTAACCTTAGCGATGAGCTGCCATATGGGGGCATTGGTGCTTCACAAACACATCTTCAAATTTAATTATTACATGTATCTACTTTCCACAATGTTTTTATGGGAAAAGATAAATTGCCCTTTTATGCATGTGTCTCATTGCAACCTGTCATATATCATTCGTTAAGAATGGTGGGGAATTAATAAATGGACTACTGTTTGATCTCTCAGTTTCAAACTTGTGAAAGATTCTAAAAGGTGACCAGGAGTAAAAGCCTATTTATTAGGGTCGAAAAGTTCTGATCAATGTCAATTTTTTTGGTAATTTTTTTTTAACAATTCTAAGGACATGATATCTAGTTACCATTATACCAACTTGCTACAGATCTGAGAAGTAATCTTGGGTACAAGCCTTTTCATTTTAAATCAAAAGGTTGAACTCAGTTACCATGAGTTTTTGTCAGTGTTACTTTTCAAACCTCAGTAAGTAACTGGATACAAGACTGTTCATTTGAGAGTGAAAAGATGAGGATCAAAATGCTTTTGTAGAACTGCATGTATATTTTCTGCAATGTTGCCCCATATAAACCAAGAAAAGCATTTTATTATTAAATTATACTGCTTATTTGAAGTAGTAGTTTATGATATAAAGCTCCATTCCACTAGCTAACCTTTTATCCACTTACCTAAGTATGTATAATTGTACATATTAATTATTCTTTTAGTCTCTTCTCGTGTAATATGACTCATCATCATGTTGAAACAAAGTAAAGTCTGGTAGGAAATCTTATTTTGACTGTCATTTGTTATTAACAAGGAAAATAATTTCATTAAGTTGTGCACTGATAAATGTATTAAAGCTATATATGTCATATCTGAGCTAAAAAATAAAAATACGAGATTGAGTGTAAATGATCATGATATTTGTTATTTATGTTCAAATTAAAATTTTCATGATTTTGAACTTGAATAACCCAACGTTTCTATAGTTAAATTGACTTTAAACTGTGTCTGATATTTAAATGCGGAATCAGTAAATAAATTGGTTATTGTTTTAAATTTCTAATATCATAATCTATGAAACGCAATTGATTTAAATTGTGTAATTTACAGGAAAGTCCTATCTTTATATATAAAGGGATAAAACAAATAGAAAGATCTTTTTAATTTTAGTTAGTCTAAACTTATATCTTAAATACGCCATATATAACTTTAATTATTTGCAGTTGTATTTTATGAATTTTAAATAATTTTGTCTATTCGTAAGCTTGAGTTTCATATGGGGGCTTCAGATCCTGTTGGAGGGAAAGCTACATGTGATCTGTGACATAAGTACACAGAAGTGACAGAACATTCTGAATTATAAGTACATTATTAAATACAAATAGACCTAAATGTTGTTTTGCCTTTTTGGTGGCCAAACTTTTTTAATTTTTCTTGACCACAGAAAATTTGACATAAATTGTGAGCATGGTGAGTGGGTTAGTGGTTAACTGCAACCCTGCCCCAGAAATGACAAAAGGTTTTTAGAGGTTCAAAAGTTTACATATGAATTAATTATTCATTTCAGAACAACAAGCCTATACAGTTTGAAAAGTTAATATACAAACATCACAAGACTTAATTATTTAAGTTTGTGTTTGTTTTTACATTTTGTCTTGATCATATTTGAAGAAACAAACATGAGAGAGAATGTATAGATGTCTGACACATCTACAAGTGTTAATAGTTACCATGGCATATGTATAATATCTTGTATGTAATTTCAGTCATATGGTTTAATTACATAAATAAAAGGTTATTTCATATTTCATGTTTATTAAGGTAGTTCAGTTATGGAAAGGGTAGTTTTGATCAGAATTAAATATCTGTTCTTCTGTAAACAAGGGTGTGAATGGGCTGGACAAGGGTGGATTACTTTTATGGTTAATTTTTTATTTGTTTTATGTCCATGCATGTCAAGAAAATATTTTCTTTAATACCATAGTTATCCATAACCCACACATGTCTTAGAGAATCCGATAAAAGAGGATAAAAGCCCCACAATTTCGAAGTGCCCCTGGTCTTGCTGGCATTTAATATTGGGTCAAGAATGGTACCCTATTGTTACTGCACAGAATATATGTATGCAGTTGTACCGTTACATATACATAAACATCTGTAATAATGTTAGCCATAAATCTATAAGAATTTGCAAGATAAACAGGATTTTCATATGAAGTACAAAATCCATTTGAATTTAGCAATAGTCATTTTGTGAAAGAGGACTGCATGGTATGATTAGGTCAGGTAAATTATTAAGATTACATATCAGTGAGTTGGTGTTTGTGTTTGTCATTGTCAAATGTGAATGTGTGTGAAATGCATAGATATTTTGACATATATATCTGTTTTATAAAAACCATAAGGAGAGCTTCAACTTAACTTGAATCAAATCTTCTTTAGTCATAGGGAATATTGGATGGGATTTCTTGAAAATGAATGGCCACATCTGCTTCCAAAGGAGGATATTAAACAAGAAAAAAGAGAAAATAGGGCTGGGTTGTTTGAAAAATTTATTTTTTAGAAGCAGTTGGTTAGAAGTGACATATGTGGAAGCTTTGTCATGTGATGAATATTGAGGTTCATTTTTGAATCAGTGGTGAGGGAATGGAAGTCAATTGTATTATGTTGTCTGGCCCCAAACATTAAAGATGGAAAATTTGAATTGAAAGACTATTATCAATATTTAAAGTTCAAAATCCTGTTCCCTTTCTTGTAAGAAAATCTAGGATCCACCCATGTATCACATGCTTAAGCATGTGTCTGCCTGCCAGTACTTACTAAGACACCAAGGTGGAGAGGAAAGAATTTAACCTCGACCTTCTCAGGTCATATGTAAAAAATGCACGGAATTAATCAGCATAGTTGTGGAGCAATGGCCTTATAGTCTCAGACAACTTGCTGAACCCCTGATGTTGTCAACTTTAAAGTATATTCATTATAAGATTCCTTCCAATCATGCAAAATTGTTGTGAATACCAACTTCAACATGTTCAATATGCTTAATTATAACCACTCCAGTGTAGGGATTCCCAATGTTTTCTGTTCATACACTACACAAGAAATTGGCTCTAGGCCAATGAGTCCATTGTTGACTTCAGAGAGGGGAAAAAATAACACATTTAGCTAGGTGTATCAAACATGAGAGTGAATCCCCTCTAATTCATTATCCTAAAATATTGCCAATAAGGGGACATAACTCTTTTGAAGGTATGAGGGTGTATGTCTTGTGTGTACCTTGTTCAGCCAGCTGAGGCAATTATATGTATGGGAATTTTCATAGTTATTATGTATTGATCATGTGTTCTTTTTTTTTCTCTAGGACAATGGTATAGAGAATCTTGTAGAGGAATTATGTCACAAATTGAAGGCTCTGGAACAACATGATGGTAAGTTAAACAAGGAAGTCAATATCCTACAATCAGGGTAATGTCTGACAGTAACAGAAAGGAAATCTTTGGAATTTTTAATGTTTTGATGAGGGATGGGCAGTGCTAATTAAATTTGTGCTGTGAGTAAAATTTTCAAAACAAATTATTTTAGTTGCACTTTACATAGGTAAGTCATATATATACATATATCCTTTGTTCTTGTAAGCTTAAAGTAAGAGTATGACAGATGATCACATGTCTGTCTTTTTCTTCACAAAGAAAGGATTTTTTTATGGGACTGCTTTGTAATGAGGTCATTAATCCAGTGGATCTATAGAAATATGAGGATTAGTGAGGGAGATGGAGTTTTGCCATGATTCTGGGTCTTGATTGATAGATGCAGTTCTGCCTCCTTTAAAGTCACCTGTTGATGGAAATATTTAAGCCAGTAAACACCTGTGATGTATCATGAAAGGACAGCAACCTCAAGAAATCAATAGATCCTTCATGTAAATTCAGTCATGTGTTCTCTGTCAGCTTTTTATGAAAAAAAACACTAAAAAGGGAAGATGGAGAGAGAAAAGTGGGGCGGTGTTGAAGAGGTCAAAGAAAAGTTTTGGTCTTCAGGAATAACTTAGTTCAATTGGTTGTATTAACTTGAAAAAATAAGAATTACTATAATAAATCATGTTTTGAGCAATCAAATCTTGTTTTTGGCTTTGAGCTTCTGCATATATATAAGAAAAGAAAAAGATTTTCTATTGTGAAACTTGAATTGCAAAGTTGTAGTTTCAGATATATATGTCAAATTGTGCAGAGCACCCATGGGAAGACATTAAAAGTAAACAACCAGGAACAATAATGATTTTCACTGTCTACTTTCTTTTTGACTAGATTTTACCTTGATAAGATCACATTGCAAATTTTTGAGGTTCCGGGTTTGATTTATATAGATATTATTCATCTTAGTATCATGGGACAGTTCTGCCCATACATAATCAGGCTGAAAAATGACTCCCTCTGAAATGTGTCTGTTTGACATATTGTACATTTAAGTCTGCTTAGAAATATGGTTTTAAAAAGCAAGATTGCATATATATATATATATATATATATATATAATGTATATATATATATATATATATATATATATATATATATATATATATATATATATATATATATAATGTATCTTCAAGATCTGCCTAGACTAACTTGCATGGATGATGCAATAAGGGATAAACACTCAAACTTGATTTGACTTATATTTTCTAGATAATGAGTAAGTCCATTCTGAAGTAACTGCAAGTCCTATCAGACCAAAATTACATATATGTTGCATCTAGGGATCAGACCAAAATTACATATATGTTGCATCTAATATGATGCACAGTACTTTAGGCCATTCCAAGTTTTTTCTCTGTTTAGCGTCCACCAATCTTTCAAAAACCTACCTACCTATTCGCAAAAAAAACCCCACAGGCCAAAAAACAAAACAGAGACTTTACAGTAATAAAAATGACATCATTCAAAGAATTTGATTTTATGAATCTATTTTTCTCCTAGAAATATCTTTTGTTTTTTAAAATCAATACTTAAGGGAGCCGACTGGGGTTTTATTGTGTAAAAACTACTATAGAGAAACTCTTTAGTTTTATACCCTATATACCTTACATTGACTTCAGTATACATGCCAAGTTTAGTGAAAATCTACCGTCTGGTTATTTTTCAGGGACCGACTCAAAATATGGGTACATTTACTATAGGATTATATAGGAAAATACCATTTTTTCGCACTTCGGAGCAAATTATACAAATACTACTATAGAGTTTTTGCTCAAATTTTATTATTTGATGGGTAATACTATATTGTACATTTTGTGCAAGAAACACAAAATTCTACCGTCTGGTTTCCAGAAGGGGCATCTCAAAATGTCAAAATTCATATTTTCCTGTTTTTATGGAGTAAAACAAAACATGACAGATACCACAGATTTACATAAAAAATAGTAACAATGATTGCTATATTCGCAATTTCCTATGTTTAAAATTGCAAGAGCATACATTTTATACTTTTTATTTTATGGCATAATTAATGACCCCGCTTAAAGAACTTTGGTTATTCATAATGTCAAAAACACACTATTACGACGTCTTTCTACCCATCATTTGAAAAATCGTTAAAAAAATCAGTTAATTAAAAACTTAAGTAGATTTTTTGACCTCATATTTCCTAAATTTGTTATTTTTTATTAGCTCTACTGGTCAGAGACCAGAAGAGCTTATGCGATAGTAAGGTGTCCGTCGTCCGTCCGTCTGTCTGTCTGTCTGTCCGTCTGTCTGTAAACAATTTTTCAAAACGCTACTCCTCCTACAGTTTTGGTCCGATTTCAATATAACTTGGCACACAAGTAGACTATACTAAGATACATAATTTAGTGCATCGGTTTTTGATTTCGATGGACGGTGTTGCCATGGTTACTAAAAATAGAAATTTCTGTGAAATTCCTTTAAAACGCTACTCCTCCTACAGTTTTGGTCCGATTTCAATATAACTTGGCACACAAGTAGACTACACTAAGATACATAATTTAGTGCATCGGTTTTTGATTTCGATGGACGGTGTTGCCATGGATACTAAAAATAGAAATTTCTGTGAAATTCCTTTAAAACGCTACTCCTCCTACAGTTTTGGTCCGATTTCAATATAACTTGGCACACAAGTAGACTACACTAAGATACATAATTTAGTGCATCGGTTTTTGATTTTGATGGACGGTGTTGCCATGGTTACTAAAAATAGAAATTTCTGTGAAATTCCTTTAAAACGCTACTCCTCCTTCAGTTTTGGTCCGATTTCAATATAACTTGGCTTACAAGTAGACAACACTAAGATACATAATTTAGTGCATCGGTTTTTGATTTCGATGGACGGTGTTGCCATGGTTACTAAAAATAGAAATTTCTGTGAAATTCCTTTAAAACGCTACTCCTCCTACAGTTTTGGTCCGATTTCAGTATTACTTGGCACACAAGTAGACTACACTAAGATACATAATTTATTGCATCGGTTTTTGAATTCAATGGACAGTGTTGCCATGGTTACTAAAAATAGAAATTTCTGTGAAATTCCTTTAAAAGACTACTCCTGCTTCAGTTTTAGTCTACTTCTAATATAATTAGGCATACAAGAAGACTATACTAAGATATATAATTTATTGCATTGGTTTTTGAATTCGATGAACAGTGTTGCCATGGTTACTTAAAATAGAAATTTTTGTGAAATTCCCATTAAACGTTACTCCTCCTACAATTTTGGTCTGATTTCAATCTAATTTGACACACAGTTAGAATACACTACGATACATAATATGTATTTCTGATTTTTTATTTGAGTGAATGGTCATGGTTACTAAAAATAGAAATTTCCGTGAAATACTTTCAAAACGCTACTCCTCCTACAGTTTTCATTTGATTTCAATATAACTTGGCACAGAAGTAGACTACATTAAGATACATAATTCTAATTATTGTTGCATGTTGCAATGTTTCAAATCCAAGTGCTACTTTTCTTTTGTTATACAAACAGACCAGTAGAGCTACAGTCTCATCAGAGACTTCTGGTTAATTATGTAAAACTAGTTGCTTTAAAAGAGTAAATACGCTTTATTTTACTATGCTGCGTGAAGTATTGTGCAATGAAAACCCCAGTTGGCCCCCTTAAATGCTTAAAATATACATACAGACCCTAAAACGTGCTACTACACCTCAGAAACGAACCGTACCGTTCCGTGCAAGAAGCGTACCGTACCGTGCACAAAGCGAACCGTACCGTGCACAAAGCGAACCGTACCGTACACAAAACGAACCGTACCGTGCTAGAAGCGTACCGTACCGTGCACAAAGCGAACCGTACCGTACACAAAACGAACCGTACCGTACAAGAAGCGTACCGAACCGTGCACAAAGCGAACCGTACCGTTCATGAATAATTTTTGAAATAATTATGCAAGCCACGCCCCGAAAGCATTCCGAATGACCAAATACAGTAAGTAATTTTCTTTTATTTCTTTCGATGCAGCGCCCGTAAAAGAAGGACGGAAAATAACCCTAGGGATTCAAAATATTATTGTTAAGTACCATGCATCTGGACTTACATCTGTTAATATAAGGAAACTACTCAAAACTAGTTACGACTTCAAAACAACTCGACAGAGTGTGAGGGGATTCCTAATTCGCTATGCATGATCGGGTTGTGCTTGACTAACATTTTGTTCATGTTAAATGCAGCATCGTCATATTTTCGTGTACAATTTATAATAAATAAAAGTGAATTAAATACTTTATCGTTTATTTCTATAGCTTTTATCTACCCTATTCTTGTCTCTATGAACGTTCTCGGAAACCAAGACACATTGCAAAATGTATTAGGATCCTGTGCTATTTTCCGAAATCAAGCCCTTAAAATCATTTTCTATTCATGTAAGTAATAGTTTTAGGGAGAAATGATTACAGATTTAGCAACAAAAATAATTTTAAAAAAAATTACGAACTAAATTGTCAATTTTAAAAGCGAACATGTCAAAATCACTAGAAAAAAAAAATAAATAAAAGCGATGTATGTATAAATCATATGTGTTGGTTTACACTCCTCTGATCTACCCAAGATGTTATCGCCAATACAACATTCTGTCAAAATGTTCGATCGCCACATTTTCGCATGGAATTTTCAGTTTAATACACGTAATTAAAAAAAAACAAATCTAGATATATGTCAGAATTAATTTTTATTCAAAGCATTTTCCCATTTCACTAATTCAATAGAATTTATACACAAAGCCCAGTTTAATCTTTTTTTTATGCGTAGTCCGTGCATGCATGTTCATCCAAGTTTTTTTAAAGAAACACTGTGCATTTCTTGCCATGGTCTCGTTATCTAGACTGACGTCTTTCTATACTTTCGTTATTTACTTTAAAACATTTGAAATTTTGACACGTGGACAGGTAAAAACTTAAGC